GGGGACTTCTCTCTCTTTTTGGATCAAGACGTAGTCGAAATCTTCAAGGACGCCCTTATAGGTGCTGGTTTTTTTCAAGAATCGGAAAATTCGGACATCAATTTGTGTCGGAACATTTTTTTCGCTTTTCCGCTCGTTACATTGAGTAATCGACTGAACGACTAGCGTGCGAGCTATTGGTGAATTTCCTTCATCGACTTCTTTTAGTCCCTGAAATGCGAGGTCGTGTAGCGCAAGCGATTAGAAAGACGTTTAACGCTTCCTTCCTTGGAAGCTCGTCCATTTTGCGTGACCTCGGGCGTTTATCAAAAATCCAGTTCTATACCCAGTGAATATCGTACTTTATTTATTATTCCGTCAAACTCAACCCCTATTCTTATGCGAGCCAGTCTTCTCCGCCACTAATTATTAGCCTTGTTAGTTAACTTTTGCGCCTTCATTTTCCGGTGTGCTTTTAATTCTTTTTTCTTCAGGGTCCTTTCTTATGCAGTACTCTCGTTTGCCGTATTCAACATTTTTTCGTCAACAGTTTGCACGCCCATATCCTCTCATAACTATCCGTTGACTATGCTATGTTTGGGTTTGTGTCTAGACCCTTGCAGAATTTTATAGAAGGGCCATAAAAATATTCAAGCTGTCGATGAAGGCTGTGGGTTGTTCTAGCTTGACCAATTATATAATCCTTGTCGTTCTCTGATCAGTCATTCAATATCCTGAACTGCCATCGGCCTGCCGATTGAGCTATTGCCTAAATAAATTGTCTTCAATTTTTGCATTTATTGTATAACGCCTGATATATAATTCTTCAAAAAGGGTGTTCAAAGATTGTCTATTGACTATACTCGTTCCTATAATGTCTGAAGCCAAACACGGCACTTCTGGGACCCAAGCTCCTTTTAGACATGTAATAAATGTAACTACACACCATAACTATTTCATATCTGTAGTATTCAGATTACGCAAAACTCAGCTTCATGCAGTTTTAATCGACAGTTCACCTAAGCGCTTGCTCTTTTTTATTCTAGTTCTGGTGATGCCGATCGTCTCTGTACCGGAGCATGTTCTTTTTCAAAAACTTAAAGCAAGCTTCAGTAAGTCTCTTCTATTCCTTGTTGATACTCATCGTCCTAGCCGAGGAGGAGTTCACGGACCTTTGCTTTGCCTTTGGCTTGGAATTGGATGAAATTGTTCGTTCACCCTGTTTGCCATTATAAAAGCCCTATTTTTAGACATCCGAACAAGAGTTAGCCAAACGTGAGCAGGGCGATGTTGGGGCTGTTAGCACGAAGAGTGATACGACAATCTACAAAGTGGAAGTTCCTGCAAACCGCTACGATCTTCTGTGTGCCGAGGGCCTCACTCGAGCCCTCCTAATTTTTCAGGGCAAGTAAGTACAGGAGTAATTTTAAAGTGCTTTTTAGAATTGCAGCGCCGGAATATCGCGCCATTCTTCCGATGCCCCATATACAAATCCGGGCTTCTCCTAATGTGAGTAATGGGTCGGCCGTCTCCTGTCTTACTTTTACAGTGAAAAAATCGCATGCTTCTCTATGACGTTATTTAATTAGACTAGGGCCTAGTCGCCCGACTAGTTGTCAGTCACGACTAAACTGTGCAAACTGCAACTTTTGGATTTTGAAGAAACTTCATCAGGCCGCATTTTCGCACGTTACAGGTCTTAGAGGTGCGCCCCTTTGTCGTTGCTGCCGTCTTACGGAATATTGCTTTTGACGAGGACCGTTATGCAAGTTTCATTGAGCTGCAAGACAAGCTTCATCAGACTATTGGCCGGTAGGACCTGCTTATATTCAGTTTTATCCGTTACTTTTCTCACAATACACTGTCATAAGTTCGCTTTATATCATCTGCTAATAAGTTTCCCTTCATTTCGCATGATCAGTGCATCAATTTTGTCAAGCCTTGCGTAGGTTTAGTCAGCTGCACTTATGTCTCTTTAGGAAGCATTGTAAATCTGAAGTAGAACGATGGTGTAAGCACTGCACCGAGTCATTAAGGGTAGGCATTCATGTGTTTTTAATTGTTGATCTCCTTTATTCACATAATATTTGAAGTTTCAGGTTGTTTCAGCTCAGTTGTAGATGATAAGTGTGTGGTTGCTAAGGTGTGCCCGGTGACCACTGCCTTACGATGGTGCGTAGCAGTGACGTGCGCATGAATTTATTTTTAAATTAATACTTACCTTATTCTCCTGCCACACCCACTACGTGACCGGGGTTGGGCGTGAGCACAGTGGCTAAACTACCCGTCTTCGCGTGCCATACACGTCCCAGGTTTCATTCGGCTCAAGGGTCAAGGGTCATCAGTCCAGAGAAGGACCGAATCATAACGTTAGGTAGCAGCCTTCCAAACCGCTTGTTTAACTTGTTAGGTTTATTATACTGAAGAGTGTGCTCGTTTAACGCGAGATCGGCCTAACTCTCATCATTAGGGCTCTATCGAAGCCTGTCATCTAATGGCTGATAAGGTTAACTGTTCTGGCTTGCATGAGGCCTCCTTCTTTCACTTTTCATGTGCGCGCATACAAGCGGTTATGATAATCCATCCTTCATTAGCGATCTTAGGGAACATCAACGGAAAGTTTATATGCAAGCGATGAACGACACTGATGCCTACGCATCTAACCGGATAGGTCCGTGCGGTGACTGTATGCGTGATAATTGTATACGTTTCGATGGTGTCACTATTTTATTTATTACTGTCGCGTATACAGATGTGATCGAAAAGGCGTATGGGGTGATTGAGTGTATGGGTGTAGTGCGGCCGAGGAAGGCGCAATTGATGGGCGTTGGCCGCGACTCCGAACGCCAGTTCTCCTATAGTACCGCGAGGTATTCGCATTTCGTGTTATTGGTTTTCCTTGGAGCCCCTGAGACGTTCACTTTCCGTAGCTACAAACATATCTGACCAGGACAAACCGGGAATAATATGCAGTGTTGCAGCAAGGACAGAGGAGAGGAGTGTCCCCAGTGACGATGCTAGTGTTTGAGGATGATTGTGCATGAAATTATTTGGTGTTGTTGGCATTTCGGTGATTGTGAAGGTCCAAAGAAAGACCTACTCGGTTGTTGAACGTGCGTTGACGGTAGTAACATATTGACTGACTCGGATGCCCACTTCGCTTGTTTGCGGCATTCAAGTATCATGTCCCAGTTTTTCCACCCATGCCTCCTCTCTTCGGTTGTCTTCAAAGTTAAGTACTGCGCACCATGTCTGATAGCTTTCTGCGAACATTTTCCAGGCATATTGGTTATTTTGAAGACATTTGATGGAGTTTCTCACTATAGCGTCGTTTTCGTCCATCTTTTATGTAAGTATCCGTAGTGACCTTTCTGTAGAAGAGTCGTTTCGGCATGCACTCATAAGTTATTATCACGATGGGGCCGCTTTTTTGAAATGTGTATGACATAGGTATCCAGGTCACCAAAGTGGGTGACAAACGTTGACATTTCGTCTACCCGTGTTATGCCAACGACCTGTGCACCAGAGCATGTATGAGCTCGAATGTTAAAATTATTGTTTAATTGTGGACCTTTTCGCGATTGCTTATAGAAAACTTGCATATTCTAGGAAAAATAGCGGTAGGTTAAAGCAAAAATCGTAGATGTGCGTTATTACTGTTTTCTAGGGCATAGAGTCGCACAATAATACCCTCAAATAGAAGACCGCATATTGATATACAAATGTGACCTAGAACGGCAATTACCATCGAAAATCGCCCGAATTTCGGGTTACGTTTATTCCTGTTCTGATTCGTAAACTTCTTCATTGATACAGTTGCTTATAAACATTTAGCCCAAGGAAAGGCCTCTTTCGGAGGGCAGTAGGCTAGTAAGTGGTGCCACGAAATTATAACATAGGCTTCTCTCATCTAGTTTCAGGTGATGTGCCACGTTTCGCACTTTAATACCTCTTTGTACGGCGGCGTGAGCTGTATACAAAAACCCGTCTATCCTGCCTTATTCCTAAGCCTTCTGTTCACAATGTCATTTACCCATCGAACACAAAAATGTATCTTTGAAAAAAGTGCCTTTGAGTTGCCTCCCAGGTTAAGACTTCCAGGCTCCTGTTCACTTATCTAAGATGAGCATGTTTCTTTTGACAGTAAACGAAGTATCGTGGCAATTGGAACGCACGATCTGGACACTCTTTGCCCACCATTCGTCTACGATGCCCAACCTCCATCGAAGATACGTTTCCGCCCTCTTAACCAAACACAAGCCTATACCGCTACTGAAATGACTGAACTCTATTCGGTTAGTGCTACTTCCTACAGCCTGATTTCACGTGGTCATGCTTAAAGTTAATAATGGACTATTTGTGGGTGTTTTTTTAAAAAATATGCTTGGGAACGAGGAGACTGTCATAAAAGGTACTGTTTGAGAAGAGTACGATTCGATCGCTGGGACAACACTTTCACTCGCCCGACGTTTCGATACCGGTCGCGGTTTCTTCATCAGAGACACCAGCGGAAAGCAATAGCTGTTGCTTTCTGCTGAGGTTCCGTTTTGTAGACAGGCAGCTGCATTTGCAGTGTAGTTTTTAGTAAATGTACTATATGGTGCAATGAGAAAGGCGTTCACTGCGAAAAAAAGATTGCATTTACCACTTTTAAATCTTTGGTCATATAAAGTTGGCTAAGTTGAAAGTTCCGGGCTCATGATTGAAGAACGGTTTAGCATACTGCGGACGTTTTGGCGAGCTCGGTTGGTTCACCACGTCCAAGGCGTTAAGTGCACACAGTAGGACAGCAATTCAAATGACTTGCCGAGTTAGCCGGTCCGGAGTTGTTCTATGCTTTCTTTCTTCACTGCCTCGGGCCTTTAGTTGATGGCGTAGGCTTATCGTAATAATCTTCAGACAACGAGTTTCTCAATCCTTCTTGTAGGAATGCTTTCTAAATTTTGGATGCTGGCGAGAATGGTTGTTCAAACCGGTCTCCTAATGGGTGTATTTTGATAGTGCAAAGTTCTTCTGTCCCTGTAGTCCACCTAATCCATCCGTACTGACTACTGAAATGATCGATTTTCATTTTTATATTGGAAATGCCCATTGACTGGCTCCAGGTTTGGGTTGAGCGCCAAACTGATTCCCAAATGGGAATTTCATCACGCCTTCAGTCCGTTATATTTTCAGCTAAGGTCAGTATATGCGTCTGGCCAGCACCAAGTAAATTGTGCGGTGTGGTATTTTACCTCGCAACTTAGTGTACATACATATCTATTGAAATACGGGCATCCCAAGATATCAAACTAAGGGAAGGGCTTCTTTGAGAAGGTTGAAACTTTAATGGGGAAATTTTCGAGACTGGTTCCCCAGCTCGTCTTCAGACCCGAGAAAATGTGCAACAAACAATTAAAATTTTAAACTTGCAGAAAATCAGTAATAATAATAATCTGACGTGAGCACCGATTGGCAACAGTGGACTATGTCAGTCTGCGTCAGTAGGCGTTACATGCATTTCGTCCTTCTGTTGTGGTTGGTCGCGCTCGTTGAACTTAGCCTTGAGGTATTTATAGCTGGCGTCCAAATCGATATGCCTGTTCATGCATGCCTCGTTTGAGTGTATTGCTTCCAGGAATTCACGACCTCTTCTAGTTGGATAAGTGTCAACAATCCGTGTGTCCTCCCACGTGAATTTGTGGCCATCTGGGATAAAAGGTCTCGTCTTCTGACCGCTGATTGATGTGGGTGTATGCGGGTTGAGGCGCATTTCTCAGTTTGACCACAATAAACTGCATCACAACTCAGGCTGTATTAGAGGTTGCTTCCTCGTCGCATTACTTTGAAACTTACACAGTGTTATGCGAGCTTCTCAGTTACAGTTGGTGACACATGAAACAAACATTAAAAATATTTCCTAGGTTCGGTTGTATAATTGATGGCAATGCAACATAATTTCAAACGCTATTACAAGATCTTTACGCGCTGAACTTTGACTGTACACTCTCGAAGTCATCATCAGAGACAGAAGCAACTTCTCTGTTTCTGTCGCAGATAGTGGATTCATTTATGCATTCGAACTCGTTGTGTCTTCTCCCTTCCTACTGCTTGCCAAAACACCTATTAGCTTCTGTTGGTGATAAAGTATGCTTGTGCAGCCTCGCTGGCTTAATTCGAGCACCGGACTAGTGGCGTCAAGCGACGCGGTTTCCAGTTACATGTGAGCAAGAAGATTACACCAGTGAAAAATGGCGCTTCATGTAGGTGGAAGTACCTCGGCGTACTCAGGCACACAACAGTTCGATTTAGCCTTGAAGGAAGTCCAATTTTTTGTATGGCGTGCTTCTTTGCCATTATGTTGAAGTCGATGGTGGTCGTAGTGTCGATTTTTTTTAATATCTCGTGTCCGACCATGTTGCGAAACTCTTCATTACGCCCCTTAACCTGCTCTACTTTC